GCCAGGCAGGCGCTGCACAGACGGGGGCTGGGGGGCGGGTCGGTGGCTCTCTACAGAACACACAAGGCTGGCAGGCCCCGGGGGCAGCAGGACCAGGGCCAGAGACAGTCAGAGACCAGGGGCAAGGCAAGATGATGGGTCAGTGACACTGACACAGACACAGCCAGGGCCAGGAAGGCAGGTGCTGCACAGATGGGGCCGGGGGCTGGGTGGCTGGTTCTCTACAGAACACCCCCAGCTGACAGGCCCCGGGGGCGGCAGGGCCAGGCCAGAGACAGGCAGAGACCGAGGGCAGCACGAGAAGATGGGTACCAAAGCAGGCGCCTTACACTGGCTGCATGGGCAGAGGCGGCTCCAGCTGACTGGGATTCTTCCCTTCTGTCCTGGCTGTGACTCCTGTGGCCCCATCCAGCGTCCATACCCAGCCTGGCCCAGTGCCAAGGAGAGAGGCCTGGCTGGGGTGCTTGGGACCCAGCCAGGAGCCCGAATGCTCTGCCAAGCTGACCAGGGCTTCCCTGCGTCTTGCCCTGTGCTGCTGCACGGCCCACAGCTTCCCCACCACGTCCTGCAGCCTCCCTGCTCTGCCTGGGCCTTAAATCCCCTCCGGGCCCCTGGGGACCAGCCCTGAATCCCCAGCAGGCTCGAGCCGCCAATTAATGGAGACTTGACCTCGTTCTGGAGATGCTCAGAGACTCCTGGGGCCCGGCCCCCAGACAGGGAGATAAGGGCAGGGCCCTGGAGCAGGAAGGGCCTGATCCCAGCGCCACTGGGGTGTGGATTATCTCTCGCTCCCCTGGCCTGACTCCTGGGGAGCTCTGTTGGGTTTATGGTTCTGCCAGATGAGAATCCAAGCCAGATGTTTTAAGGGGGGATGGGATATTCAGGCTGATCTAGTCTCTCCTGCTGTGTGACACAAGCTGGAGACGTCCCCCAGTGCTGTGAAATAGCGCAGGATTGGGACAGAGGGTTTTCTGGGGGTCTCTAAGTCCATCAGCTCCTTGTGTGTGCTGCCCTTCCCCTGCTCCCTTCTCTGCGCCTGTGTGCACAGGGATGTGCTCCGGCAGCAGTGTGGTGATGTGCGAGGGCGAAACTCCCCGCTGTGCAGATGTGGGGCCCCCCCCCCCCCCCGAGCTCCCAGTGGCATCGTTGTCCTGGGGGGGGCGCTCAGAGGCAGAGTGGGACAGACCCAGCCTGACAGTGTTCACTGTCGAACTGCCCCAGACACAGGAAGGGGGATCAACCCCCTCCCTCCTCTTGTCAATGGGCTGAATGTGCGGATTGGGGGCTGCTTCCAGCTGCAGGGGGGAGATGACCTGGCCCATGTCTTTGCAGAGCTCTTCTCTCCTCCTCCCCGCCCCCTGCCTCACTCCAGTGCGGCTAGCAGCAGCTTGTCCCTTCCTGCCCACACAGTGTTTAACTGCAGCTCACGCTCCAGGCTGCTGCTGGCCACGGACCTAACCCAACAGCCTCTGGCTTCAGGGCAGGCGGGCAAAGGTTCACCCCTCCGCATGCACCGTGCATCAGGGGTTACAGCGCACCCGGCCGGAGACATGGCTTAGGGTTAGGCCGCTCTTCAGAGGAGGGTGCCTAGGCAATGGAGCAGCCCTGTGGTCCCTGGAGGCGGGATCCAGGGAGGGGAGAGACATGGGTGAAGAAGGTGCAGAGTCCCTGTCCCAGGGGCTGCTCTGGAGCCTTCAACTTTGGTGCACAAACAGGCTGGAATCACTCCCCCTCCCACTGCTCCACTCCAGAGCTTAGCTGACGGGGTGAAGGGGCTTTGACACATGTACGGCTTGACCCCTGTTAGCCAGTTCACTGGCCAGAGCGTCTTGGGCTTCCCCTGAGCGCCAGCCCTGCCAGCAGTGGCAGGGGAAGGAAGGAGCCTGCCAGCCAGGCTGTCGGTAAGCTGAGCGCCCCAACCAGCGGCTGGTTCTCCCCACAGCCCTGGCAACGGGACACCCTGCCAGGGGATGTGGAGGAGCAGCAGAGATGGGGATGGGGAAGGTGCAAATCAGGGGGAGCAGCATCCCTCCACCAGCCTTGCACACCCACCTCCTCCAGCCACTCCACTCCCCACCTACCACACACACACTCACCACTTGTGGGTGGCCAGTGAGCAGGGTACCCACCGATGCTGATGGGGGAAGGGAGACAGAAAATATGGGACAATTTGCCCTTATTAAGGAAAAAAGATGGGACACCTGCAGGAGGGCTTAAATACGGGACTGTCCCTTTGAAAGCAGGACATCTGGTCAACCCAGCTAAGTGGCTGACAGTGGACAGCTACATGGGTGGGACACTCGGTAAAGTAGACAGAGCCACAGACAGGGCACAGAGCAGGGTGGGAGAGAGACTGGGCTAGACTGGGAATGGGAGGTTTCCAGCGATGATCCCATCCGTCCATCTGCTGCTGTGCTAGCACCACCGTGTTAAAAAGGCACCCGACATTTCCTCTAATCACTGTCGTTTCCCGCCCTTCCCTGTGCTTGGGAGCTGGGATGCAGGGGCAGAGATGATAATTAACCTCTGTAGTTGTGTTATCCCCAGCCCAGGCACAGCAACCATGGAGTGCAATGGCCGTAGGGATTAATTAAAATGTTGGCATTGCTAACAAGTCCCCAGGCTGGGCCGTGTCACTGCGCCGGGCACCAGGCTCAGGAGTGACTCTGGGTTTGCATCAGCTGAGTTCTAGGTGTTGTTGCATAAACCCCAGAGCCGGAACATATTTGTTGGCTGAAATGTGTGTTCATCCTATTATTATCATGGGTACTACAGTAGGACCCACCATCTCAACTTGAACCTTGGGGCCCAAGCACAGACACGTAATAAGAGACAGTCCCATCTTGAATGTGACACACACTGAAGAGCTGAGAGTGACATGGTTTATTTATCCATGTCTACCAGATGGGGAAACTGAGGCACTTTGGGTTTTTTAGTGACTCTAGGACAAAAAGGGAGTCGTCTACAGAGCCTGTACTTGAACCCAGATCTACTACATCCCGGTCCTTTGTCGTAGCCACAAGATAATGGTTTGCAAATCATTCTCATGGGCTCGTTGAATGTAGCTGAATTGAATTGATACTATTCTTAGGTATCCAATATTATAGCCCCCAGCTCTCCCTGCACCTCCCTCTACGGACCCCAGTGCCTCTGGCTGGGAGCTCAATGGAGGTTTCCTCAATGGCCATCAGAAGCTCCCAGTGTTTTGACAATTGACATGCTCAGTGTGTGTTCTGACTGTCCAGTCCCAGGGTACGTCTACACTACAGCGCTAGTTCGAACTAACTTAGTTCGAATTAGTTAATTCGAACTAAGCTAGTTCGAACTAACGCATCTAGAACTAAAAACTAGTTCGAACTAGCGTTTTGCTAGTTCGAACTAGTAAGTCCACATTGAGTGGACTCTGAACAGGGCTTAAGGATGGCCGGAAGCAGTGCCGGCAGGGCATAAAAGGAGGACTTAGAGCATGGAGATACTGTCTCAGGCTAGCCGAGGGCTGCGCTTAAAGGGTCCCGACCCCCACCCCGGACACACAGTTCTAAGGGGTGCCCCGCTTGCAAAGAAGTTCTGGCTTGGAGTGCCCTGAGTGCCCACACTGGGCACATCACACCACTCGGCCATCAGCCCGGCTGCACTTGCCGCAGGTTGGTTCCCGGGGCCAGTGCAAGACAACCAGTAAGCAGACTCTGGCTGCCCACAGCAGTGCCCAGGGGGCGCCGCAGTGCAGGGAGCAGGGTGGGCAGCCCAGCAGGGGGCACCAAAGAGCAGGGAGTGGGACAGGCAGCCCAGCAGGGGGTGCTGCAGCGCAGGGAGTGGGACAGACAGCCCAGCAGGGGGTGCTCTGACCTTGCAGGCAGGGCTGGGTTTAGTGCAGGAGCTGGGCTCTCGTGCCCTGTTCTGCAGGGGGACGGGACGGGGTCTCGGCTCACGGCTCCTACCCCGGGTGCCTTTCGCTTTGCTGTTCCATTGTTATTTCATTGCAAGGCACAAGGCTCAAACCCGCGTCCAGGGAGTCAGGGGCAATTCTGGGCCAGGCATTAATATTTCTGTGGCACGGGATGTCCAGGTGCAATGGGTGCTGCGCTCACACAGCCAGAGACAGCCCCGGCCTGGAAGAGCTCCCAGAGCAAGGGGTGGAAGACAGGAATAATTGTTACCGCAGTGTCTCCATGGGGGATTGGAGCACTAAAGAGTTGACATCATCCGCTTAACTTCCTGCCTCGCCTCAGAATCCATGGCATGAATCGATTTACCTCCTGCCTCCCCCTGCATAAGTTTATTGACTGTGTATGTGACCTGAACTCTTGTGTAACCCAACTGCCCTGTCTTAATCCAAGCCCTATGAGTTTCCAACTAACTCTGACCCTTGCAAACATCAGTGTCCTCCTCCCCTGCCATGGGGAACGCTCAGCTGCCATCCATGCTAACCCCAACCCTGGAATGGTTCTACCAACGTGCTCTCCTCGACTGGATCACTTTGGTAGGGGATGCAAGCAATAATGTGCCTTGGAATGAGGGGTAAACGTAAGCCGGGACCTCTGGGAACAAACTGAGGCTGTCCTAGGACAGGGGTGTTCTGGAACAGATTTTGGGGTTGTGGCCGACAGTGACCTGAACGTGAGCTCCCAGCGCAATGCTGTGGCCATGCGAGCTCCTATGACCATGGGATGCAGAAAGGAGGAATCGTGAGTCGGCTCGGAGTGGCGACTCAGAGAAGAGCATTGAGAATAACTGAAGGAACAGAAAACCTGCCTTAGAGTGACTCAGAGTTGAAGCTCTGTACATCCCTGCAGCATGGCTGAGATTTTCAAAGCTCTTTATGAAGTTTGGGTCTCGAGTTCCACTGACTTTTGATGCGCTGAGCCTGTCTGTCCCTTAGGCATCTTTGTAAATGCCAGCCTTGCTGCCTGTTGGGACCAGGAACTTATAGGAGCATTTCGATGGTTTGCAGACCTCCAGCAAGGCGCAGGGCAGCCACGCACATGTCTGTGCAGATGTATTTCCATGCAGACGCATGTGCTACTCCTTGAGCTGCTGCACATCAACGTCTCGTCGTCAGACCCTCTCCCAGTTTTCTCAGAGCCACCTTCACCTCCTTGTTGCGTAGCGTGTAGATGAGCGGGTTCAGCATGGGTGCAACCACATTGCTGAAGATCTGCACAGGGGTCACCAGCACTTTGCTCAGCTGGGGCTGGGTGTAGACCAGGGTGCAGGGTCCGAAGAACAGCATCACCACTGTGAGATGGGATGCGCAAGTGGAGGCCGCTTTGCGCCGCCCTTCGCCCGCGTTCATCTTCAGGATGCAATAAACGATCCTGACGTAGGAGGCGAGGATGAGGAGGAAGCAGGTTGTGGGCACCATGCCAGTGTTGGTGAAGGTCACGGTCTCAAGGACATATGCATCTGCGCAGGCCAGCTTGGCCACGGGGAAAAGGTCGCAAAAGAAATAGTCAACTACGTTGGACCCGCAGTAGGGCAGCGTGAAGGTCAGGCTGGTGAGGATGGTGGCGTGGAAGGAGCTGGGGATCCAGATGATGAGCAGGTAGCGCAGCGGGTGGCAGATGGCCACATATCTGTCAAAGGCCATGACCGTGTAGAGCAGGCTCTCGGTGTTGCCCAGGAAGTGCCAGAAGAAGACCTGGGCCATGCACCCGCCCAGTGAGATGACCCTGCTGTGACCCCAGAGGTTGGCTAAATATTTCGGGGTGCTGATGGATGAGAATCCAAGGTCCACGACGGCGAGGTTGCAGAGGAAGAAGTACATGGGGGTGTGCAGGCGGGGGTCGGCGAGGATGGCTGACAGGATGAGCAGGTTGCCCAGCAGGGTGCAGAGGTAGAAGGCTAAGAAGGTGAAGAAGAGGATGTTCTCAAGACCTTCGGTGTTGGGGATCCCTCGGAGGATGAAATGAGTCACCATCGTGTGGTTCCCCAGCCCCATTTGGGCCTCATTCCTAGGGTAGGGCAGAGAAATGAAGCCAGTGAGTTACTGAAACAACCCGACACCCTACAGCTGCGATGTTCACCCTTCCCACCACTGCCCCCAGGACTCCCTTCCCTCAGGAGCGGGGAATATTTCTGTCCATGTCGTGCCAGTTAGGTCAGGGCCTCATACAGCTGGTGCTGAACACGGAAAGAAAAAAAATCTTTGCCTTGAAGATTTTACAGCTCAGAGATTAACAGAAACAGGGGACTTTCTATTCCATTTTCTCCTGCTCTTGTGTCTGGTCCTATACCAATAGCTTCAGCTCTGTTCTGCCAAGGCCTTGAACCCACCCTCCCACTTACAGCTGCCATTTCGCATTTCTGGTTTGAGCTCTCCCCTCCCGCCCAGCGAGGGATGGCCGTGTGAGTGGTGGAGGGATTGTTTGCAGAGTTTTGCTCTGATAAATGCAGGGGCTGCGATGTGCTTCTCTTGGGGAAGAGGGTGGGGATGAAACGTAGAAATGTGAGGTGGAATGGCCCCCGTTCTGTGAGTGATGTGAATGGGTGGGGGCGTGGAAGGAAAAGAGAACAGTCATAGTGCTGGAAAGCTGCTAGAGGCGCTGGGGAGGGCAGCTGCACCTCCTGGATTGATGTGGTCTCCATCATATCCCAGGTTTACAGTTTGGTCCGGGGGCACTCGGCCCTCCCCCCAGGACACAAATGATCCAGCCCCCCTGGCCACAGCTTGCTGCTCATCCCTTGGGGATGGGTGGGCTCTGTGGACATGATGGGAGGAGGGGGTGGACGTGACATTTGAGTGACAAGGACGAAGTGGCTCTTCGCCAGGCTGTTCTGCCATGCAGGAGAGGCAGGGCTGAGCGATGTCCCTGGAACAATTTTTAGGCTGAGGGTGCTGAAGTCTTGCCCCCCATTTATCCCTGCCCATGTCCCCCACTGCCCAAGTGAGGGGACATAGGTGGGGGTGGCTGTGGATCCCTGGGTCTGGGCCAGGATCAAGGCCAGGAGAAGGGAACCAAAAGCCAGCAGCCAGAGCCCCAGCAGCAGTGGGGTTCCCGGGGTTGAGCTGTCAGCCAGCACTCCCGTTTGGGCACCAGTGGAGACACTCAGAGCAAAACCCCAGGGTAAAGCAGCAGGCTGACACTGCAACTTTT